ACAGGGATAACGCTACTTACTGACTTAACAATAGCGAGTGCATAATCAACTATCGTGCAGTAATTGCATTTTTATTTTTGGAAGGTTTAAAAGCAAATGAGCGAATGTTGAACGAGATGAACGAATGTTGAAAACTGTATTGAGGCTTAGGACCATAAAAACTGATTAGACACGCCATAATAAACTAACTAAACTTTAAGTTTTAAAATTCGCTCCAAATATTTCACAGCGGATTTGTATATTACTAGCGTTGGATATAAAAAAAAAACAATTAAAAAAAGATGCTGTACGCAGCATTTTCCATTTCCAAACCGTTTAATTAAGCAAGTTACAACTAGAGATTTCCTGTTAAAAGAGAATACTGTCTCAGTCAAATCCACAGGATCTAAAAGGGAAAATATAAATATAACAACGACTGAATCTACCATCATAAAGACTCCAGTAGAAAATTTCAGACGAAACTACATTAGAACCTCCCTTGAAAAAGCGAAGACATTATTTTGGTGACTTTGAACAAGGATCATCTAACAGAGACCAGGGATATAAAGTAGATTTAATTCAACCTTCTAAAGAAGTCATTCATATTTGCAAAATTGCTGAAAGCGAAATTAGATTTATGTACATACATACACAATTCGTCATCCATCCAACACAACATAAACTGGCAGCTTATCATAGTATGTTACATAGATTAACAGAAATTCCGATGTCAAAATACAACTTTGAGACAGAATTAAATATAATTAAGCAAATAGCAGTAAAAACGGATACAACGAACAAGCAATTAATAAAATGTTAAATCAAAAACTACACAAGAAAGCCCTGAAATTAGTATTTCCACTACCAGAGAAAAAACCTAGTACCTTCTGCTCGATTACATATACAGGCAAAATAACAACAAAAATGCCAAACACATAAAAAAGAAAGGAATAACACCAGCTTCCGAACAAATAACAACCTAGGCAAATATATTAAAAATAACAAGAGCCAAAATAAAAAACACTTAAATAGTGGTGTGTACAAACTTCAATGTGGCGACGGCCCAAAAACTTACATCGGTCAAACTTGTAGAAACTTTGATAAACGAATAGCAGAAAATAAAAGGGCTTTCAAGAATAGAAAAGCAGATTCGACATACGCACTTCACCTTCTAGATCATAATCATTCTTTTAATGACAAATTTAAAATTGTTCATATTCAAAATAAAGGCCTTAAGCTATCTTTGTTAGAATCTATGGAAATCAACAAATTAAAAAACACAGATATAATTCTGAATGACCAACTTGAGACAAACAGTTCTCCCCTCCTCAACCTTTTTCATTAGAGACTATAAATTTGTAAACCCAAGCCAAAATAGATCACTTGAGAAAGGCAATCAGCCGAAACAGCTGTAGTGATAATATTTAAAATAAATTTTGTGGAAGTTTGAAAACAAAGTTTTCAGTGTTTTATTGTTACGTAAAAAAGACATTTGTACTTTTGTTCTGAATACCTGTTCTGAAATAAATTAAATTAAAATTTATTATTTCTTTATTTAATAATAAAAACATTTTTATAGGAATATTATATAATTGCCAAATCTGAATTTTGACTAGATACCACTTTTTTCACGTCTGTAAACAATGTTTTGGTTCTTTTTTAATGTAATATATTAATTGGTTTTAATAGAACAAATATTTAAAAAAAAAGTAAGAAAAACAAAAAACAATTAAAACACCGACTTGGATTATGTCAAGGTTAACTCGCCATCAAAATACTGATCATAAACATAACATCATGTAGTTTAAAGATGCAGTTGATACAATAAGAATTCACGAAAGACGGTCCTAAATGATGTTTATTATATTCTGTTTATATTTCCTTGTAGCATCTTTATGCAGTTGATATGCTGTAGGATCTCGTTCTAAGTTGTTCTGTTCTATTCTGTCAATTGTTAAAAAATTGTTATTTATAAACATGATAAAGGATAGTCATTTTTTAATAAAACCGGTATTAATAAATGTTTTTCCTCCAAGAACGAATTTTCGTTAGAACAAGCAATTTTGGCTTTATCGTATAAGCATTTAATGATTCTTTTTTAGGAAAGAAAACAGGGCCAAAGAAGGTGTAACCTTACTAATACACCAAAGGCACCAAAATCACATCAAAGATTGTCAATAAATATCAGAAAGAATAGTAATAGCAAAGATAATGGAGAAGGAAAACCTGAACGTCATCGGAGTATACGCCCAGAAAATAACAAGCTTCAAACAACAAGGAAAGCGATTTTTCAATATTAATATATTAAATATATTATTCAAACACTAAAGATAGAATGAATGACACTAAATATTAATGTCCAATTTACATAGTCATTCAATTGCTTCTGGGGAACATTTCGCAAAGTCCTGGAGGTTTCCACGGTAGGCACGATTCAAGCAGTCTGAAACACAATGGCTTATGGTCTGTCTAGATTGTCTGCAATCGCACTGTGGACTTTCTTCACGACCCCACCTGAACAGCGAATCAGCAAATTTACCATGTCCGGTACGTATACGATTAAGCCTTACCCAAGTGGACCGGGGCAGATTTAATCCGATGAAACCCTGAATTGGGGTGAATATCTTAATATAGTCCGATTCTACTGTTGGCATTCATCTTGTTGTCCATTGCCTATGTATATCATAGGAATTACCAATTTTTCGGGCAGATAGTATTGGAGGATTTCTAGATGTCAGTCGCTGGTGCTCTTTTGAGATGTCTGGGATATCTTGATGTATTGGTAATTGTACGTTGGCTACAATTTTCTGGTACTCTCTCACTAATGCTGCTGTACGGCGTAGATCTGGTGAAGCAATATTGCTCAGAGTAGGCAGCTATCTCACTGGCGTTGGTTTTATTGTTCCAGTGATTATTCTCATGGTTTGGTTAAGTTGGACATCGATTTTGCTTGTATGTGCACTATTTAGCCATACTGGTGCACAATATTCTGCCACTGAAAAAACCAAAGCTAGAGCAGAGGTCCGAAGAGTATCTGCAGAAACACCCCAAGTTGTTTCAGCAAGCTTTGATATTAAGTTATTTCTTGTTCTTAGTTTACCGGCTGCGTTAGTAAGATGACTTTTGAAGGTGAGTGTTCTATCAAGTGTGACGCCTAGATATTTGGGGTTGTTGTTATGTTTTATAGCTTTGTCATTTAGAGTTACATTGAGAGTATCGCCCGCAAGTTGACTCGACAGGTGAAAGAGGCAGGTTTCAGTTTTGCTTGTGTTAGGACGTAAGCGCCAGTTCTTAAAATAGTTACTTAGTGTAGTTAAGTCCTCGTTTAGAGCTCGTCCTCCTGCTTCTTTACTATTATCTTGGAAGCCAATGGCCAGGTCGTCAGCATAAGCAAATTTTCTCGATTTTTAAAAACATTTAATTTATTTTCAATTTTATGTCTTGGCTGTTAAAAGATTTTTTTCATTTTGATGAAAGCTGATCTTGCCTTCTCCATCTTTATCTTAATTTCCGTCGATTGGTCCCACTGTTTATTTAAGTTTGCACCCAGATAACAAAAGTTGGTGATTTGTGTTACAGATTGTTGGTTAACTAGTAATTGACCAGGTGGTATCCTATTTTTGCTTATAACTATGTATTTGGTTTTTTTGATGTTAAAGTCAAGCCCAAACCTGCTACTTACTTCTGCCACCCTGGAGATAAGTGTGCAGACCTTCAAGACTGTCTGCAAAAATAACAGTATCATCAGCGTATCTTATGTTATTAAGTTCTATGTGCTCTGAATATGTATAGAACAATAATGGGGACAATATACATCCCTGTCGTACACCTCTTTTTATCTTTATATCGTCTGTTAACTGATTTCCCATTCTAACAGCTGCAGTTTGTTCGTAATAGATATTGTTTATTACACGGCGATCTCTGCTGTCTAGACCAAATGAATTTAATATTTCATCAGTTCGTCATGTTTTATTCTATCGAACGCTTTCTGGTAATCAAGAAAACACACATATATATCACAATTCACGTCTTTACATCTTTGAAACAAAACTTGTATTGCAAAAAGGGCCTCTCGAGTATCCAATGCATCCCTGAAGCTGAATTGTGTGTTTGTCATGTGTTCTTCACACTTTTTATATAGTCTTTTATGTATAATTTTTAAAAAAGTTTTCAGGAGATGGCTCATAAGCCTTATTATTCGATAATCTTTACGTTTTTTGGCATTGGTTTTTTTAGGGATTGTTATAAAAGTTGATCTTAGCCACTGTTGGGGTATTTTTCCACTTTGGTATATATTGTTGAAGATCAAGGTAAGTCTTTTTATTTTGTCTTTATCCATAATTTTCAAAATTCTGTGTAGAACTCGTCTGTTCCTGCGGCTTTTCCCTCCTTAATGTTGTTTATAGCAGTTTCTACTTCCGCTTCGAGAATAGGTGGTCCGGTATAGTCATTTTTATTTTGTGTGATGGTGACATTCCTATCGTCTTCAAATGTTGTTGTCACATAGTTCATCCACGTTGTTTTTGTTTCTTCAATATCAACTATTGGATTTCCTTAAGCGTCGGTTAAGTGTCCCGACCTTTTTGATTTATATATGCCTGCTGCTTCTTTGATCTTTTTGTGTTTGTTGAAGGAATCGTGTTTACGTTGCAATATCTCGATTTCTTCACACTGTTCTTCCAGATTTCTATTTTTAGCTTCTCTGGCAGCTTTTACATAGATTAGTGGGTAGTTTCAACCACTCTAAAGATGTTTCACTGATAATGGTTTGACCGGACGAAAACGTTTTGAATATAATTTAAATCCGTTTTGATAATTTTTTAAAAATTTATTAAAAATAATCCATCATACTTCTTCATTATAAATTTTTTTTGTTTTTTTTTGCCCTTCAGTAAGTTCTCATCATTCAGATTTATAAATTAGTTTTGTTATTGCCTAATTTCAGCTATTTATTCAGTCCTGGGAGGCGCACCAGTGCTACTAGTAAAATAAAAGTTTTGAAATAAAAGACACCTAATTCATTTTGAGTAACTTTATTTAAAACAATACAAAATAACATTTGCAGCGCTTTTATCGTTAAAACACGAAAGTTTAGTGACTCAGACATCACTGTAACATACAAAAAGTTATGTAAATGCAAATTATCATATGGTTTCTGAATAAATTTATAAAAATTAAGTTTGCATCATATTTACATCGGTAGGAAATTTCGATGGTAGGAAAGACAATTACGCGATAAGAAAATTAATACTTTGGTCTTAATTTACAACTGAAATGCTTTTACATAATTTATCAGATTTATAAAGGTCTGTATTTTTTAAAGACATATCAGCAACACCTAATCCGGATTCACCTAACTTAATCCAACTGATTCCAACTTTAACTACCAGCGACAATATTTTCGAGTCCATATTATCATACCTATATAAATCTGACAAATTTCTCTGGACCTTACAGCTAAAAATATCATCGTTGATCTTGTTTAGCTCTGGACAGGCATGTTGACTGATGGTCTAGAGTCTACTTGTCCTTTTCTCCATAAAGAAGTTACAGTCTTGGTCTGAGTGTAGAAGTTTAATCCTTGTTTGCCGTAGAAGTGGAGATCTCCGTGGAAACTGCCTCTGGATCCGGTGAAACTGAACATCGGTAGTGGAACTGGTATGGGTACGTTCACTCCAACCTAAAAATGAAATACGGTTAAGAAAATAATTTCGATTAAACAAGGTGTAGTACAAAATACAGTAGAGCTACTGTATGTGTATAGTATACTGTATGATAATATTCACAATTGGTGGAGTATTCACTTCGGATTTACCACGATTACTCATTAAATGGGAGATATGTAGAAGCGGGTCTTCATGACCCTGAACATAGAATAAACAGGAGACTTACAATAATTGCAGAAGTAAAATACCGGAAGATAGGCTCTTTCTTCTTCTTTTCCTTCTTTCTAAGTAGACATAACTCTGTTTTTCAATGTGCCTCCAGTAAGTTGTCATTCCATCGTATACGTGGTCTTCCTATTGATGAATCGTCTAATGCCGTCTTTAATACTCTATTTGTTGTCATTCGGCTTACATGATCGTTTCATTCTACTCTTATATTTCTTACCTAGTTCTTAATGTTCTCCACCATGCATCTACATCGTATATCTGTATTGTCCCAAAGTGTCTCCAATTTTTCTAAGTGTTTTTATCTCTGCTGTTTCTAACATCCTTTTGTCGTCTCTGTGACAGGTCACGTTTCTGCCGCGTATGCCATTATTCGTCTGCAGCTCTATTTGCTCTATTCACCTGATCTTCCACTTCAGTTTCGAGCTTTCCGTAGCTAGATAATGCGTGTTAGATCTTTTCCTTGAAAACTATGTTTATTGTCCCAAGGATGTTTAAGTATCTGAGATCATTTAAATTCTCTGTTTTTATTATATATACTCGTTTTCATCGTTCTTGGCGTGTACCTGAAATAAGCTACTACGGAATTTTTAATATTCGTCTCTCTGTGATACACAGATGCGTAATTCAATTGTGCGAGTCACGTTCGTCATGGTAAAGTGCGATGAGAAGGTAATGAAGAGACCACTCACGTCTCCCAGTATTGTAGCAATAACACCGATGCGTTTCACGATACGGTGTCGGTGATAAGTTCGGCCTCTTTACGAAACACAGATAGCTGGCAGTGACGTGTTTTTTTTTTTAAACATGTTACCCTGATCTGTGCAGGTTTGAAGTAGCTGATGAAATAGTTTTTATAAGTAAACAGTTTTTAATTAATTAATAGTTTGAGCTCTTACTGTGTGGAATTCCATTACATAAAATAATACTCTCGACATTCCACTTTATTATAAATTAACTCTCTCTCTTTCGATACCATTGCAATAATAACTTGTGGTATTGTTCTTGAATGATCTGGCTAATACGTTTATAATTGTAGCAATTACCATTGATATTTTATGTTGTTTTAGTCGATTTTAGTCAGTCATTGTTGGAATTTGTTTCGAACAGTTTTACTTATTATTTTTTGTTGTGAATAACTAATTATTCTATTTAATAAAAAAAATGCCGGAAAAATCGATAACAGGAGAAATGCGACAATGTGTAGTTGTTTTATTGGAGTATTTTAAAAAAGAAAAAGAAAACAACGGACTTTTTGCTTTCGTTATCATCGGTACATGAACGAGTAACGGACGCTTTGAAAATCAGTCTTCGCACAGTGACAAGAATAATGAGTGAATACAAGACAGCGGCAGATCTTACTACACCAGGAGAGTCAAGTAATGTACAAAAAAAAAGGCTAATGATGTCACCGATACTATAAAAGAAGAGATTAGAAATATACTGTATGGCATGAAAGCAAAAGGAGAGCATGTTACAATTAAAGTTCTAAATAGACAATTAAGAAAACAAGCATCTCTATGACGGTTCTGATACAAGTTTGTGGCGTCTTATGAAAAATTGTGGGTTTTCATACAAACTAGAAAATAGTAGAGGAGAGTGCTATGTGAGAAACCATGTATTGTCTCCAAACGACTGTATTTTTTGAGGCATTATATGAGAAATTTTTTAACTCCAAGCCCACTTCAGTTCGTTTTTTTAGATGAAACATGGATATTTCTAAAAGAGGCATATAAACGTACTTGGCAAGATGACTGTGTGAAAAGCATCAGAAAAGGACACGAAAATACAGGTAAACGCTTTGTTGTTTTACATGCCGGAAGTAGGCAAGGATTTGTTAAAGATGCTGGATTACTGTTTTCTACGAAATCAAAGAGTGCAAACTATCATGATTCTATGGATAAAGAGTCTTTTAAAAAGTGGGTCTCCGAAAAGCTGATACCAATGTTGGAGGAACCATCTCTAATTATTATGGATAATGCCTCATACCATAGCTCTTTAATAGAAAAGTTACCGAATGCCAGTTGGAAAAAATCGGACTTACAAGAATGGTTACGAGCGAAAAAAATAATTTTTACGACGATTCGGGCAAGACAGAGCTATTGAGTCTTTGTTGCCAGAATAAACCACAAAATACCAGGTACGTTATAGACGAGCTACTCCAAAACATGGGCATCAGGTTTTGAGATTGCCTCCATATCACTGTCAATATAATCCGATTGAGTTGGTCTGGGGCATTTCTAAACAATACTATGATCGTCATATTGGAGAACATGGACGTGGAGATGAAACAGTGAAAAAAGTTTGGGGCGATGCATTAGCTGAGGCAACACCTGTAGTGTGGGCGAGTTGTGTTAACCATACTGAAAAATTAATTCAGGACGACTGGGCAAAAATGGTCACATATGATGAAAATTAAAGTAGGATTATCATCGATTTTGCGAGAAGATTCCAATGATGAAGACAGTTCCAGTGAAGACGCTGACTGATTAGCTAATTAATGAAGGTCAGTACGTTGTAACAGTTCAGAATTCGGTACGGTGCTTAAAACTTAAAAAATCTGTATCATTTTTTAATTAAAGTGGGTTAAATAATTAACACTTTTTGGGTATATTTCAAAATCCCTTTAAAATGTACTTTTCGTTATATCCTGTCCTATTGTACTGCAAACTAGAAAATACTTCTTCGCAATTTATACGTATATTCCGTTATTAGAAATTTAATGAAAAATAATTTATAATTTTCTTTTATAACCATTATTTCGTTTGACATGCTACATTTTGCTCCGCCACTGGAGGATGGACACGAATCGAGCTTAGACAAGGAAAGACAGATGAAACAACTTATTGCAAGTGTTTTTACATGCACACGCCAAGAACGATGAAAACGATTATAGTTTACTTTCCTTTAACCTAAGTCTTACTGCTCTGAAAATTTCACCTATTGTCAGATTCACAAGGTATTTTATAAATGCAGTTCTTTGATCTTTTTGTACATTGGTTTGATTTTCATAAAATAGAGACTAGTGTGTGGAAGGTAAAGAAATATAATGCGAAAAGATGGAGTTGCTTCCAGTTTACTCCACATAGCCTCTTCTACTCAAATCCGACTGTCACCTTCACGCTCGTGCTCTATAATTAAAAAACAACCAACTGGAGATTTAGTGTCTAGTTGGAAAGTTTGCTACGGAACCAACGACAGCAAGTAAAATAGGGAATTTGGCGTTGGGCTAACTATCCAACCTTGCCAAAAATTCCATATTATGAAAGCTACAGAGAAAAAAGCCCAACTTTCTAACTAGCAACGAACTCACAAACGAAATAAGGACAATGATTTGAAAATTTGCAAGTAGAATGTAACAAGCTTTTTATATTTAATGCTACTACAACGGTGTAGCGTTTTATATTTAATGTCTAGATAATAATATAAATTCGGTTCTAAATTGTCATAGTACGCCCTGGTATACCAAGAAATGTGTTGTGTCTGTTATGGAAGTCAAAATTTTTAAATGCGTATTGAGTCGTGAGAACGATTTTTGTTTAGATTAGCCAACAAATATTCAACTTAAAAATAATTTCTTAGAAAAATTATCGCAGAGTCAAGTAATTTTTGTTACCACGCAAAAAGTTTGTGGATGACAGGCTAACTGCGGGGAAAAGAGGTGGATTCGGCGTTCGAATTGAGAGGATGAACGCGGTAGGTGCGGCAGTCAAGCTTAATCAACCGAAGGGGAGAGTCATATCGATTTGAATCGACTTTTTCGATTCAATCGTTTATTTTTTTGGTAATGTTTTAATACCAGTAAAAAAAATGAAGATATTCTTGGTTTTTAATTGCCCTCTTTGAACAGAGTACTTCATTTTATATCGTTTACCTATGGTATGGCAGTTACCGGAAGATTTGAATGAATGCCGGAAGCTTTTGCGAAGTGTGGTGTAAGGTGTTCCAAATGCTAGCTTGATTCCTCAACCAGCCTGTTTGATCGTCCGTCCGGAGTGTGGAAATGATTCCTGATGGTTGCTGTTTTTCCAGTTTGAGAGTTTTGTCCGAGTAAGCTTCCCCAGAGATATAACAAGTTTCAAAGTTAAGTGATTGTAAAAAAAATTTAAGGCAACTTTTAATATATTAATCTTTCCAAGTTATATGGACATTATTAATAATTGCTTTCATTAATACAATTTGTAATAATTAAAGATTTATATTATGTTGTCATAGATAAAAATGTCATAATTTAATCTGTCTTAAATTGTTATGTTGACATATGACATTTTGCTTTAATCCATTGTTGTTATAAGACAATTTTAATTTGATTATTTTATATAAAAGATATTCCATATGTAAGATGAAATTCAATAATATTTTTCAAAAAAAGGATATCCATAAAATTTTGATAATCTAAATTGGCCATATTATAACCTAGAAATCATTTGAATTTTTGTAGCAATCTTTGATGTATACAAAGACATGTAAGTTTTGTTATTTTGTATTATGATATATAGTATGTTTTTTTTTGTAATCTATATTTTGATAACTGTTTGTTTCAGACAAGAATAAACGTTCAATTTGTTTCTCTGATCCATTTTGTGTTTTGATTTAGAAAAGTCTCCTAATCCTTGTGTGTATTTTAGATTGTAAGGAAGAAGAATTTTTTTTTTCTCCTAGCAGGAAGTTTTCTTCGAAGCAGCATCCAAGAAAAGAAAAATAGCTAAAGGTAAATTTATCTGCCATATCTTATTCGTTTTTTTTTACCCAGGAGATTTATGTAAGTATCCTTTTGTTTTCATTTTATAGATACCCCAATCCAACCCCATATCTTCAACTTATCCCCGACCCAGCTCTCCAACAACCAACTGAGTGCCGTACGCACTTGTTTCGATTTATTTGGTTTGCCCAATCTTCTACCCCATGTTCTTACCCTGAGGTAAGAAAAATATAGTCGTTACAACGGACAACCTACCGGTCACGAATTTGGTACAAGATTTACTGTGAGCAGCAGGATTATATACAGCGTAATTAACTTCAAGGCTATTAATCGTAGAATATCTCGAATAAGACACAAAGGAACGATTGCTAGTGATACTAGTAATGTAAGTATTCACGTACTAACTGGAGAAAAATTGGACGATGAAAAAGACATGTTATATGAGTAAGATAAGTGTCCATAAAAATGATGTTAAAATAATAGCAGAAGACTTTAATGCTAAAGTCGGGAAGAGGGAATATCTACTCTCCCACCAACTACAAGCAGACACTCAAATGACCACGAGCTGACCTATAAACATATTGCTAAGATAAGCCTAGTACTACATTAAGATTTTTTTTTCTCGAATTTCTATAAATCTTTTGTATTGCAGCGAATTTGTTTATATTTATTTATGATACATATCCCAGAACTATGGAATCATATAAATCAATAGATTCTCCACCGATACTTAGAAAGAGACAAATTCCTATTTAAAGAAAGTCAACTATCTTGTTCTGCTTCTTTCATTTTAAAACGTATTTCTGCTAGCTACATCGCACTTTGCGCAGTATCAATTTTTCAGTGAGTAGCGTGTTGTCCAAAGCCTTCAGATATTCTACAAATTCATTCATATTACACAAAGCTGCTTCATTAGTCACTCGTTCCCCAGGTGCAAACTTCCTTCTTATTCATCACTTTACCCTTCGTTTCATTCTCGGTATTTTCTTAGGATATCTTCATCCGTTAGATGCTAAAATCCCGGACAAGTAGCGTTGTAGTCTTATAACTCTTGCAAGTTTCTAGCATTTACATTTTTTCTTCTAGGAACTGAGTTCACTAAACTTTTAAGATCAGGCAGTTCATTTTTATCGTCTTTAACTGCCAGTTCTTTACAATTTTCCATGTTTCTTAACAGTTTTCTAAATGACAAACAATTGTGAATATCTGCGTGGGAAAATAAAGATTTTCCCACGCAGATGCAGAATACTAAATGATGATGACACCTTGATCCATGGGCTGAACTAATGCAATCGTATGTGTGGGCAAACATTTTGCCTTTAACAGACTTAAGCACTTGCATTTGAGGATGTGAAAAGGCGTTGTCAACGCGGATTTTTATATCAACTTATTTGATTTTAAAAGTTTTTTGACTTCTAGTACAAAAGCTTTAAACCACTGTTGAAATATTTTTAACCATCAACTCTTTCTTTTGGTTGAAGTATCCAACAAGTGGTTTTTCTGCTCTGACTTTTCCTAAGCCTCTCACAAGGAGAGGTTTAGGAACAAAAAGAACATTGTGTCTTGAAAATCTAAGTAACAAGTAGGCACAAATACCTGAATTTCTTTCCTAAATGGCGCTTGCTAGCCGGATATACTAGTCCAAGAAGAAAATGAATTATTGAAAGCAGAATAAAAAATATCTCAAATAACTTGCTTACCTGACCAACATCGGTTTCGTGTACGAACTGTCTCGCATGGTTTCCGTTGGTTGTCATAATGGCAGTTCCGTTTCCGTAAGGATTGGCGTTAATAATTTTGATAGCATCATCCAGGGTGTCTGCAGACATAACACAAAGAACAGGCCCAAATAATTCTTCTTTGTAACATTCTTGGTTGGTTTGGACGTCTGTCAGGATTGTTGGACCTACGAAGTTTCCGTTTGGATATTTCTCTACTTTGATGTTTCTTCCGTCCAATGCACATTTGGCACCCTAAAAATGTGTTAAACAAAAATTACTTAAAAATTACAAAAATTTATTAAAATAGATGATAGACCCAAATAGTTAGACAATAATTATTATTATGCCAATTCTATGCCGGTAATATGTTCAATATACTACTTTGTCCAATCATTCAAGTTATAATTTGATTTTTTTCTACAGAAGAAATTTTGATCGCTCAGTTGTGCCATCAAGTATAATAGGACCAATTGTTTTATTGTGTGATAGTTCAGGTTTCTAAGCTGTACTGGCCTAATTAATGCTTAGTATATACGGGTCTTCGATATTCTAGATAGAACTTTTAATATCTTGAACTGCGTGAAAACTTTTGTTACTACAGTTCTGTTTTCAAGAAAGGAGTTGTTGGTAAGTATATGAAGATTGTGAGAGATATGTATGATGGAGAAACAATTAGCATAGAAGACATTTTAGCACAATTGTATGTGAGGTGGGAGGAACTGACAAATTCCATGGGAAAACAAGAATTACAGCGGGACAAACTGGAACAGTGGGGACAAGCTCTAAAAATATGATCTGTATGTATTCTTTATATATTGAAGATTGACTCATATCGTATATATGCAATTATATCTTATACATTAAACGAGATATGTATAAAAAATAACACTAACCTGTTCAATACCTTTTGCTACCAATCGCAAGATTCTTTCTTTAGCTTGAGGGCTGATGACAGGTCCAACATCAGTTCCTGGTTCATGTCCAGCATTTACCTTCAGTTGTTTAGCTTTAGCAACTAAGTCAGGAATCCATTGTTGAGCTTCGCCGACCAAAATTACTACGCTGAGAGCCATACATCTTTGTCCAGCTGCTCCGAAGGCTGCGCCGACGATTTGGTCCAATGCAGATTCTTTGTGAGCATCTAAACACGACATAAAATGAGATATGTAGTTATTTCTGAACATAACTAAAGTATAAAGTATCTTTAAATTGTTGTCATAAGCGACTGAAGTATTGTAAATAGCAATAAAGATGTATTGCAAGTATGTAAATATGTCCAACAGTTAACATCGTAATATTCAACCACTAATAGCAGACTCTTCATGAGTGGCAGGATTTTATAAGAAATTAAATCACTTAGTAAAAATCAAAATTTGAAGAGCTTTTTTACAAAACTGCATAAATCCACTTCCGGTTAAAATACGTATTTTATTGAATTTCGAGAGTTTGGTCAGCCTTAGATCTTGTGTATAAGTCTTATGTGTTTAAAGTTAATATTTCCCATTTAAAATGAGCCTAACAATCACGTTTCTTCCACGCGTGGAGCAGCACTTGAAAAAAACTGATACCAACAGTATCAGAAACTGGGACAAGACTGGGTGATATACGATACGATACGATAAAAAGCCTTCAAATGATTTATCAATAAATAAAGGGAATCAGCCAAACCAAACGCCTCATTATTAAGAAAATCAAAACAAGGGACCGGCATACTTCAACCAAAATAAAATGCGTCAACTATAGGTTCAACAGTAGAACAGAAACTTTTAGAAGCCGTGTAAAAAAAATAAAAATGATTTTCTTCAGGCTCTTTCCCAAATCCCACTATCTCATTCCGTGACTGAAGAGAAAAAAAAATGTCCTTCATTTATTGCAAACCCACTTTGGAAAGAGATCCCTGATCTTCATTGGTATATTAATGCTCTTCAACACAAAGCTACTGATCCAGATCCAGAAACCCATAACTACCATGATGTCGAATGTGATTGCTTGGAGAATGTGCCCCAAAACTGTTCACAACTAAATTTTTTGTACCCTCATTTTTTTTTGTTTTAGTGGGTACCGTTTAATATTTTTTATTTTTAAGATATTGTTAGTTTGACAAAAGTTAATCTTCCATCTTTTTTCACAAAACGCGATATCCCCAACACACACATGGCCATACTTTGTTAATGCAAATTAATGAAAATAATGTTAATTAACGTTTTATTTCTCTAAATCTAACCTCAATTGATTACATTCTCTGAAATTTAGAAAATTTTAGTACAACAGCTGCAGCTACAATTACTGGCAGAAGAAATGTGGTACAAAACTCAAGTAGACTCAAATAGCATGCTTTTACCATCTACAATAAATATTGAAAAAAAGTTAAATATATTTGTTGTAGTTTTGTCTACTTATAAATAGCCAAAGCAAAGAAAATTTAAAGACCATAAAAGACTACAAACAAGGACATACTATTTTCTCACAGTAATTGTGCATATTGATTCTGTTTACTAAAAAACTGCTGAATTAACACATCAATCATCGCATATTACCTGGCAGAATAACAGCATGATTTTTAGCGCCCATGTTTGACTGGACTCTCTTTCCATTGGCAGTTCCTCTGGAATAAATATACTTTCCGGCTACATCAGATCCGACAAAGCTGATCGCTTTGATATCTTTGTTATCGCAAATGAAGTCTACTGCCTGATGGGCTCCATGAATGACCTAAAAATAATATTAAATTAAAGACAAATATACTACAGTTTGATTTTTTACATAATATCTTAAGCCTCCTGTCTGTACTTTGTTTCGAAGATAATTTGTTTGTTTGTTATGCGAGGTTACTCCATTTTACTTTTACAGAAAATTAAAAATATCCAAAGACCAAAAGTGTTATTGTACTGACATCTAGTACAGCAATTGAGGAATGAAGTTATTGCATCTTGCAATCTATTCATTACAAGAAAAGGCATAGTAGGTTAGTTCATTATTATAGTGTATTTTTATGTATGAGAGAGTAATAAAACAATAAATTATGTATGCAATTCCCTAAACTGTTGATACGGGTGACTCAATGAAAAAACAGATATTTGTCAACAAGTTTACAGAAGTATATAGGAAAACAATTTTAAATTGAGTATGACCACCAGGTATAAAGGTTGGAGCAGAATAGAATACAATAGTTGTGAGGGTTACTAATCCCTAAATAAGGTTGCCAGTGTCGAAGTGATGGAGGTTAACAGGTACTAATGAATTTGCAGGAAATGTAAGATGTTTATTTTATTGGTTATATATAACCCAGAAAAAGAATCCCAGAAAGTCTATTTTATTAGAAAGAAGCGATATTGTCATATGGAGAAGACATTTTCTAAGAACCATAAAGGAAATGAGAAACCAAAAAAGAAAAATATTTTATCTTGATGAAACATGGATCAACGAGGGTCATACACCAAATAAATTTTGGCAGGATGAAACTGTTACAAGTCAAAGGAACGTTTTTGTAAATAACTTATCTACTGGTTTAAACCCCCATCAGGAAAGGGACGCAGGCTGATAATAGTACACATTGGCAGTTTAGACGGTTTTGTTGAAGGTGGTTTATTAACTTTTGAATCAACTCGTACCGATGACTACCATGAAGACATGAACGCTGATGTCTTTCAAGAATGGTTCGAACAAATGATAAATCTTTTTCCTAAGAACTGTGTAATAGTAATGGATAATGCAAGTTATCACTCCAGACTTATAGAAGGACTACCCACAACCAAGTGGTTAAAAAAAGACTTGCAGAATTGGCTGAGTTCAAAAAATATTACGTACCATCCCGGATCTATAAGAAAGGAACTTTATTCGTTGTGTGCCTTTCATAAAGAAAAATTAAAAAATACGAAATTGATGAAATTGCCAAAAATCGTGGAATGACAGTACTTAGATCCCCACCATATCATTGTGAATTAAACCCGATTGAACTGGTATGGGCACAGATAAAGAGTGAAGTTTCAAGAAAAAAATACCACTTTTAAAATTCATGATGTTAAACAGTTGTTTTTGGAGGCCGTAAATAATGTAAAACCTGAAAACTGGGAAAAGGCAGTAAATCACACTATTAAAGAAGAGGAAAAAATGTGGAAGCTGGACAATATTACTGATAAAATGATCGAGCCAGTTATTATAAATCTTGGTTCTGAAAGTTCATCTTCTGAATCTGATTTGGATTTGTAACAAGTAGCTGTAAGTTTTATATTAATATTTTTATTCATCTATTTAACATACCTTAGACGGTTTTAAAAACTCTTTTTCTCTTTTGTAATTTTTAAAAATTAAAAAAAAAATGTGAATTTTTTAAAACCCTTTTTAATGTAGGCCAGTCAGTTCTAATATAGTGTGTGATAAAAGAGGTCACTTTTGTTTACATACACATAACACTTTATAACACTGAAATAATTCATTTATTTTTTACAATTATTCAAAGTAATTTTTCAATTAATCTTGAGCACGCCCATGGAGTGGTCGGAGGTACCAGTTAAAATTATGCTAATTACTCTCTCGTTCATAAAAATAAACTATAGGACAAAGATAGTCCATTGCTAGACCAAAATTTTGTTTATATAAACCATAGAAGATAATAATAATGATCAAAACTAAATTACTTACATTAACTACACCTGGTGGACATCCAACTTCGTTAAGGAGCTCAGCTATTAACATGGTCGCACCAGGATCCCGCTCTGAGGGTTTCATAATCATGGTGTTTCCAGTAATCAGAGCTAAAGGTATCATCCAAAGAGGTACCATAGCGGGGAAATTGAAAGGGCAGATACCTGCTGTTACTCCTAACGGAAGTTTATACGAGACTACATCCATATCCTTAGAGATGTTTTGGAGAGATTCGCCTTGGAGGAGAGTTCCGGCAGCACAGGCGTGTTCAATGACCTCTAAAACAATAAAAGTTCCTCTTGTTATTAACTTAATACTATTACTATAAGAGCTTATCAGATCCTAATATATTTAGCAGTATTTTTGTTTTTTAAAGAGATACAAAACGTCTAATTATCCTGGTTGGTTCTCATTATCTAATCCTTTCTAACTCTCTACAAGCAGTTAAAGCTATACAAACATCTACCCTAAACACTTAATTGTGTGCTCTATAGAATGGAGGCACGAACATTAACTCTTACAACAAGAAACCTACAGATTCCCCTACAGAGGAAAAATCTCCTTACAAAAAAGGGGAGCTACAAAATGATACGTACAAACCATAGAAACATATAATCATATAAGGATGGACAAATGTATAGAATCATATAATCAGGAAAAATAAAATTTTCCTGTTTAAGAGATGAGGAACCTGACCTGCAGTCAATTATATAAGGCAATACCTTTAAACATAACTTCAACTAAATTCCTCAATCCCATAATTACCGAAAAAAAAATATTTTTAAATATGATTAGTTAAAAAAGAAAATCACACAGATCTGAGAAGGAAAAACTATATCATCAGTGTTAACGTTAATAAACATTACTTACGTAATCCTCTTGTAACATCACCCTCAGCATCTACCAACGTCTTTCCTTGTTCCAAAGTGATGTTCTGTGCTATTTTTTTGAGGTCCCTTCTAACGACAGCTTGGAGTTTTAACATCAATTGTTGCCTGGTTAAAACGGACGTTTGACTCCAACTCTTGAAGGCGTTTTTCGACGATTCAACAGCAGCTTCCATTTCGCTAGGTGTGGTCTTGGGAACTTTGGTGACCACATTGTTGGTGGCTGGGTCATGTAAGTCGATCCATTCCGTGGTTTTTGAGTCTACGAATTTTCCATCGACGAATAATTTTGTGGTAGGTGCTACGTTGGAATAGCTCCTTCGTAGAAGGTTAGCTACAGGTGATACCTGAAAACGTGTAAGTTAAAGTTAAAAAATTGTTATTACAATAACAATATACAATACAGTAGTCTCTCTTTATAACGATTATCTATATAACGATAATTCCTCTATAACGATGAAAATAGTAAACGTTGGTTGGTCCGTCATAAGAACAATGTATTAATTCTTAATTCTTTCTCTATACCGATATCGTTCTCTCTTTGTAGCGATGATTTTCAGCGTTCAATAGTCGATGACAAATATTTTATTTTATTTGTGTCTAGCGGTTGTTTACTTTTGCGAGTTGTGTCTTAGTCAGTCAATATGTCTTCGAAAAAGCCTAAAGTGCCCTCGGTGGAGGAAAAGTTATCGATAGCTCAAGCAATTGGATGTCGTTCGCTGTACGGGGCTATCTCAGTCAACTGTGGCTCCGATATGGAAGGACAGAAAAAAGTGGCTTGAAGCGGAGATGAAGGGTGGTAGCAGGAAGAAGTTGCGGAAACCTCAGCAGCAGCGTACCATATTCCACTTTCTGGGCTGGACAAAAGCTGAGTTCTTTGCAACTCAGAACCAAAACTAGCTCCGAGCTCTCAGCAGGAAACCAACTGTCACTCTCAAATCTATATAAAGTAGCAGGTTTTGCAGAACCCTCAACACACAGAGGCGTTGCAGAGCACCTAGAAAATTAAACCGATCGCGGACGAGCGGCATGCCCTATACAAGGCTCGAACACCACGAAAGCGACTAAAATCCAGGAAAAGATTCCTTGGAACAGTGCAGGATGAATCGCCTGAGCATATTTTTCTTCCCCAGGTTCAATGGACCGGCCAGTCCCTAGACTTTAAAACTTGGAAAACTATAAATAGGGTAATAACGGGAGGGAGGTCGCCCAGTAAAATCAAACATGGTAAAATGGAGAAAAATAAACCAAGATAATGTGAACTGTGACTGTGGAGAAGTACAGAATATGGAACATCTTCTTAGATGCAGAAACATGCAGAAATTTATGGCTCGCCAACAAAGATGGAACCGACGTAGACCGATAATGGGCCGAAATTTTATGAATGATATGAATTTCCGGACACGATAAAAAAGCAGGCATGGAATGCGGCAAAATACTGCATTAATTCTTCATCCACCAAGAAGACGATATGAGCGATGTGGAAGATTCTATGTGTCTTTAGGACATTTTCAGGTTAGTTCTGTGGAAAGGGAAAAGGAAAAAGACCAAGGTGACGGACTTTTTTGGTAATGTAGGTGTTTGGGAAAGTATGTGCGAATTCATTTCATATTTTTACAGTTAATATTTTTTCTGTTACGGTACTGTAATGTGATCTAATTTGGTGGTGTATTTTAAAGACCTTTTGAAATATATTGTTTCCTGTTGTCTCGTAAAACTTAAACTGGATATCTCATTTATAATGTTGTGAATACGGAGAATTTGGCTTCTTTTTTGTATGGTTCAAAAATATATGTACACACAAGTGTAAAGTGTCGTGTTACCGTCACAATTAGCTAAAATTATCGGAAAGGTCGCAATACAATGGAATGATTTATTGGTACACCCTCTCGGACCACCGCTTAGAGGGTTCCTTCTTAGCTCTGACCATATCAACGCATGGTACTTCTTCGTAACACAGTGAACGAAACGCACCACACTTGACCGGTCTCGTGTTAATTAGCCTCGGCGTCCCAGGCCGCGGCGTCGTGATGCCCGGCGACCAACTCTTCAGCCTGTTACGAATACCTCAATAGAACCAAAGGGTAAGTCCATAGTTCTTTGTACAAAACATTGATAATGAGTAAACCAGTTAATTCCGTAATTTATTTACAATTGATAGTTGCTATTTTCGCTAATTTTATGTATAAACAAATATTGCATTTTCGTTATAATTATTTATCTGATATAATTTAACCAGCGACCTCTCAAGTTTAATCCTAAACAGTAGGCTGAGTATATTTTACACTAAGTAGTGTATTATTTTGTTATTGTACAGTATACATGTTTTAATTGTAGAGTCATTTTTTTATACTGTATTGCTTATATTATTCTTTAATAAATTTATGTGGTGTACAATACAGTGTTAATTTATTTATATTCGTTTTGATAATTTTTTTAAATTAAAATAGGTTATTTAGGACAGTATTATTAATATTACAGTACCGAATTTTGTCTCTCTCTGTATAACGATCTCTCCTTATAACGATGAAAATTCGTGGTCCCTTGCATATCGTTATATAGAGAGAGAGGACTGTATTTACAATAATATCAACTTACAATATACAATATTTTTGATAAAAATCATGATACCAATAAGATAATTTTAAATTTGGAGTAGACTTCTTAATAAATTAATTTCAGTTGCGAATAAAATATAACAAAGAAATATTCGATCAATATAGAGAATCAACAGAGAACAGAATCCCCAGAACCTAATTAAATTCAAGAATGCAAGGCAACAGACCCGTTGAAAGACCAAAGAAGAGATCAGAGGACGAAGTAGATCTTTAGAGAAGCTTACTTAACCCTTTGACGAATGTAGGTTTGCTGAGATGACCACCTTTACAAACATTCCTTTTAAACTTCCCAACGATTTTAGTATAGTTTAGTATAGAGGGGAAGGTAGAAGGAAAACGTGGCCCTGGTAGACGGCAGGCGTCCTGGTTGAAGAACATTCGTGAGTGGACTGGTTTGGATTCTCAATCTTTAATAAGAAAAGCCAGGGACAGAAATGATTTTGCTGAGGTTATCGCCAACCTTCATTGAAGACGGCACCCAAAGAAGAAGAACGATTTTAGTCATATTAGTGTGTAAAATTCGTTACGTATATTATATTATAAGAGTCTAAGCAGTTTAGAACCGTATTGATTAAACCACATTGACTGGATGTCAAGCACACATTTGAAGCGGACAGAAAGGTCGACCATAGACCAGATATTCGTTCTACGCCAGGTGTTGGAAAAAAACTGGGAATTCAACCGCGATGTACACCAAATCTTCGTGGACTTTAAACAAGCTTACGATTCTGTTAGCAGACAAGCATTGTGGGAGACCATGGTAGAAATGGGAGTGCCTGGAAAGCTGGTACGATTAGCAATGGTGAGCACAGAGAACGCTTCCGCACGGATCAGAATTGGCAGCGCCACATCGGAGGAATTCCTCATTGACGCCGGGCTTAGACAAGGAGATCCTCTCGCCCGCTGCTATTTAATTTTGCACTGGAACATGTGGCAAAGAAAGCTCAACCACAACTGACAAACGCATTTGCCGACCAAGGATCAAAAATACTATTGGCGTTTGCGGATGACGTAGACACGATTGCTCAATCTACCAGATATGCAAAAGAGGTTTTCAGACTATTCGAAAACGGAGCCAAGGAAGTTGGTCTGAAGGTCAACGAGGACAAGACCAAGTACATGGTGGTTACGAAGAACCCAAGGACAAGGGTTAGACAAAACGTAACAATCAATGAATACAACTTTGAAGTCGTCAAAAAATTCAAGTACCTGGGAGCGATCATAACATCTAAAAATAAATATGAAAAGGACGTGGCAGGCAGGATCATTGCAGGAAACAGGGCATATTACTCATACCGTGCTTAAATCAAAAATACTCTCAATACCAGCAAAAATAAGGGTGCAAGAGAATAATTCGCCCCACAATGAAGTATGGAAGCGAGACATTGACTCTGAACCAGCGGGAATCGTCAAAATTACTGGTACTGGAAAGAAAGATACTGCGGACTATCTATGGGCCTTGCGGAGAAGAGACAACGGGAGAATGGAGAAGAAGACACAATGATGAACTCCAGACAGTATATGGAGATGAAAACATAGTACGATATATTAAAGGAAACCGAATAGACAGAAGGTCAGTTGGTTAATGGTATCCTTGTACTGTTTTTTAAATTCTTCTATAATTTTGTCCACAATTAAAATTGAAAAGTAGTGAAATTAAGCAATATTTGGAGATATGCAGTAAGCTTAGTTGTTATTTAAGTTGCTGTTCAACTGCTAAACGATCTCTTTCTGCGATATAACAACATTTTCCTAGTAATTATTATTGGACATAAAACGATTAACAATATTGCTATCTAAGTAATACTTGCTTGTAATTTAATTTATTAACTGTTAGATAAAGATATCTACATATTTTTTATGTAAATATGTATTAAATTTGGTAATTCGTACTTAACTGATAAGAAGGTTTAAAAATAAAATTTACAAATCCAAGATATTGTTGTGATATGCTGTGTTGATGCTATTTACGTCATATATATTGTAATTGCCTTTTATTGACCTTCAAAATGAACCAATAGCACCAGTCCTTATCAACAAGAGTTACTAGATTAATAGGAAAACATCAGTAACGACATATAAGTTTATAGTTAATGATATTTAGATTTACCCAGATCTTCTGCTTAAGTATTTAATCTTCTTCTTTTTCTAAACGTGCCTATCTTCTAGAAATGTTGGCGACCACATTGACCCATCTTATTCTATTTACTATTTAAATATAAATATCATCCAAGTTTATGCTCCCACTACTGACGCAGAAGAGCAGAATATTGAAGAATTCTACCATCAGATAGAAGAAGTGCTAAAAATAACAAAGAAACGCGAAGCAATAATAATTATGGTGACTTTAACGCTAAAGTTGGACAGAAGATGACGCAGGGCATCTCCGGAAAGTTTGGCTTGGGAGAGAGAAATCAAAGATGTGAACGTCTAATAGAATTCTGCCAAGAAAATGACTTCGCCATTACAAATACCTGGTTTCAACTTCCAGAAAGACGTGTTTACACGTGGAAATCCCCTCAAGATGAACATCAAGGAAGAATACTACGGAACCAAATAGACCACATCCTAATAAACCATCGATTTCGAAACAATATTAAAGATGTAAAAACTAAAAGCCAACTAAGCGTTGTAAGATATAATTATCTCGACCCCCTGAAAAACTCTCAAACGCGCGAAAACATATCACACCAGATAAATAGTAAAACACACAGAATATTAAATATACC